AGTTAAAATGATTGTATTTCAAGTTGGATAAAACGCACCTCGTGCATTACGGAATAAGAATTGGGGCAACCTTGAACGTACTTTGCACCCCTGAGGCGTGGAAAATTCTGGGAACGGCGTACGGACAAAACCTGTTCTAAAAATTACATGGCATATGGTATACCCTCGTTTACAGTTAAGAGCAACTCTCGTATCACAGTCATCTTCGACTCTGCGGATGAATTAGAAGATTGATTGGCTCCATGAAGAAATTTAATCACTTCAATAGTCCATAAATTGAAAGGTACTATAATTAACAAGAGCTAAGGCTGCGCTCTTCTATCACTGATTGAAGAAATAAACGAAAAAGAAATTAAATCAAAGTTAAACGGAATCGACACCCGTCAAACTTTCTTGTTGCCTGTTTTACCTGAACAAAGAACAAAATGCGGCAAACGAGGAAGCAAAATTGACATGTCCGCAAGTTGTTCCGAAATCTTTTACCACCCATTCTGATAAATTTTAAATACTCGCCATATTCAGCTGCTTTAAATAATGCAACTTAAAACCATGTGATAATATTTCCTGCACCAGCAATCCAATTGTTATTTAAAAATTTCATCTCATTTATTTAATTTTTTTTAAAAGAAAAGTTTTCATAGAAGCTAGCAAGATCTCTAAAGCAGAAAGAATCTATCAGTACCTAAAATTAACATATGCATGAATATGCGGGAAGATGAAGGAAACAGCGTTTACGACGGTACACCCAACGACATGACGCCTTTCGCTTTCAAGTTAATTAAGTTCTGTAGTATTTTGTTAGGGAGCAAAATTAAATGAAAGCATTTCTGACGGGTTTTATATTCAATTTAATTCATAAGATTTCAATAACCCAAACCATACATATCGCCTAAATGATAATCAGTGACTGAAGCTGTATATGTGCTATTAACACACAGCGTAAACATTAGCAGTTCTGAAAGTTGTAATCATATTTTTTTCTTTGGCTTTATTCGATGATTGCGTGATAAACAGCAAAAGAGGACTTCGTGGTATAATTTTCAATCTCCCATTTAATTGCCCTCAGCGTGGCGCTATATGTTTGCAGTACGAACATCGAGAGTTGTGATGTTTTCCTCTGAGAAAACAGCATCAAGAGGTCTGGCTTTTCAGAGTCGGCCAACTTGATTAAAATCCTGTTATAAAAAAAAAGCTAAGGCACATTTTGACAGACGCATTTTTGTAAAGAGCGAAGACTGAGAAAGTGGTTAATTTTCTCCGAGCTGAGTTGGTAAAGCCTCTCTATATAGCTGCACACATCTTGGATCGCCAGGGATTATTACATATACCAGAACTTTTAATACCCTGAAGCTTGTGTCTGCAAGATAAAGACTTCAGCGCTCTGTGTTTTTGCACTCGTTTTGTTGTTAGTTGAGGGCAGCATGGGTTTTCCTCCTAGTCGAAGTGCGGGTTGCATGGGAAAAATCGTTTGGTGACTTGTTGGCTTGTTTCTTTACAGTTTTAGTGGCAAATTTTGAATTTGCAGGTTTTCGAGAATAAAAATTCACGATTGATGACCGTTTCCGATTAAGAACCAATCAGAACCCTTGGATTCATCTCAGCACTTCCTTGTTATATGGTAGAGAATTTATGCGGAATTTTTAATTTCTGTAACTTGAATCCTAAGGCGCAACGTGAGCGACAGTACCAGGAGAAACATTTACTTACAGGCTCGTGAGCTGGAATGTGAAAAGGAACAAAAGAATTGAGTCTAGTGTTCTGTAGACCTTTAAGCTACTACAGAATTGTTTATCGTGAAAATAAAATGTTTGAATTCAATACAGTTTGTAACCACATCGTACACGTGCGTTCATATTTGACTTTGCGCCTCAAAATTTTAAACGGCCAGGCCGGCGTGTAGACACGCTAACAGAATAAGCTTGTTTCCTGCAGTGTTTGCTCAAATTTCACTTGGCAGGGTTTTCAAGACATTGAGAAATATCAATTTTTTTCCCTTACTGATAACACTTCCATCGTCATGCAGTTTGGCGAGCCAGTCAGGTTTGATCAAATGTTTTCAGGATGAAATGTCAACCGTCGTGCTATATAGCGGCATAAAACTGAATTGCGTGAAATTTGAATGCAAAATGTTGCTCGACTTTTCAGCAAAGAATGATAAAGCGAAATGCAAAATCAAGCATCAAATGGAGAGTGTTTTAATTCTTCGAGGTTATAGAGTCAGTGTCAATTGTAGTGTCAGCTTTAGCCTGTTGATCACTATCTGTAACTGACACTTCCATAAAAGAGACTCTTTGTCGTGGAACAAACGATTCAATTTTCATTAATTGGAATGTGTACGTTTGACAGGTTTCTTCCAGATAGTTAATTTGCATAAGTGTTTGAAATTCTAAGAGATTATGTTTGACTTATTAACAAATTCGTTGATAAAAAGAACTCCGCTTTGTAAAATTCTCGTCATCCAGTTCTTGACCTTTTTGAGTACTGCCATTGCGTGTTCAGCGGTGATGGCCTGGACACGCAAAGGACAACAAAAGCTCAAACGGCTAAGTAAGTATTAAGCTGGTAACAACTAATAAACCAAAGAACAAAAGGAGATTCTAAAGTACTATGGAGATATAACATAGCATATTGGCCCAGAGCCGCTCTTCTTGAAATAAACCTGAAAAAAAAAAAAACCATGATAACTCAAGCTCCAACCAATTACATTCGGCCGTGATACAGAACAGTTTGAAATGACTGTGTTTTGATGGCTAGTTTCCGTTTGCGCGGGAGGAAGAACTTCACTAAAACATATTAATGCAAACTGCAGCTGGTTAAATGAAAATCGTATAGCTGAAGATACGGGTGGAAAAATATCTAGCTACTGGAAGAAATCGTTATTATGCAACTCGGTCGATTTTGTTGAGTAAAAAAATGATAAAATCAAAATTAGAACAGAGAAGAAAGAAACAAAAGATGTTTAATGCCAAATTAATTATTCATTTCATTAATGCCAAACATGACTTTTACGATCTAGTTACACTATTCTATAACTGATAGCATTCAGAGTTGATATGTAGATAAATTTTCGGGGAGGAAAAAAGTTAGGGAATCATCGTAGGTGGATTGTAAGTTTGACAGCATAAGAAACTCGCTCTTTCGCACTGGCGCCTAGAAAATAACCTTTATCTATCTCTACATTTCCAGAGAGCTCAAAAGCTACAAGAAAAAAATAAACCCTTAGAATCGTTCTTAAAAGTAAATGTCGCAGTAATATATAAAGAAGTTGCTAGACTTAATAACAGCGGCGGGTTTTTATTTCTACACCCTTTTAAACAAAAGTAGCCTTAAAGCAGGCAACGCTTAACTCGTAACTGTTGTTTGTTTTACCGTTCACACCATGGTTTAACTTTTTTAAAAGGTTACTTTCTCGATGAGAATTTTGCAAAATTGTGTAATTCTATTGACATGTCGCTTCACAATAGACACTGTTTATATTATTGTCAATATCGTCTTCGTTATAATCAATATTTACATTATCATTTGCCAGTTGGAAAAAGATGAAAGACGATGAGAGAAATGGCCAGCCATATTATTGCGATCGTTTTGTCTTGTTGAGTGCAATCAGTTAAGCTTTGTCAGGATTAAAACTAATTTGCGGCGGAAAAAAGAATAAAACATTGAGGAAATATGTTATCGTATAATCGTCTCATTCTTCTTTGTCTTTTGATTTTTGTATCTCTACGAGCGTTTAATTTTGTTATTTATTTATTTATCCGTTCGTTTTTTTTTTTTTTGCGGATGTCTTTTCTCTCGCACAACGCAATCCTAAAGAAAACCATCATGCTAACATATTTAAAGCTGGGTGGCGATCGTCGTGAGCCAGTCCGGATAAAGCCGCTCGGTTCTGCATTCGTGCAGCTTTGTCAACGCTTTTTAAAAAAACTTGAAATTTCAACGAGGAGGCTTTAGCAGACCGCTGCATGTTTTCCCTTTTTATTCCACTGGATGGAAGGTTATGGCGCGTGGGTAGTTAAGATCAAATCACAAGAGGATTTATGTTACCAAGCAGAGCTACATTAATGTCGGATTAAAATAAAAGGCACCAAAATAAAATACACCATTGGCAGCCGACTAACTTGCTACATTGCCGGGACGCGTTGCAATTCGACACGCGATTCATGCGAAATCGTTCTTTCGTTCGATCTTATCCGTTAGTGTGAAATTCAACGTGAAATTCTCCGAGGCAGGTGATGATATAAATTTCACTTTATGGTTAGACGTTGACAGTTCTGATGCCTGTCAGCCATCAGTCTTGGCACATTCTGACAAAGACGGCCGACATCTATCGAAACCACCAACATTTGAGTACGCCAAAACTCCCCCGGCTGCAGTGAAAGAAGTTATATAAAATAGTTTGAGCTTATTCCAGCCTGATTACATTCTTCAAGACTTAAGCTATATATGTATAGCTCTGTAGCTCAAACTGATAGGGATTTGTTGCCGTTCCATGATTCTTTAAATTAAGGACCACTATCATGCCTTTCTTCTATGGTGAAACAAAAATGACTGCAGCAGCTGTGCAAGTGGAAAGATCCCTGATGTTTACTTGGGGATGCACCGGGCTCATAGTAAATTGTGAATAAAAATTTACTGCGAATTACGGGGACAATAACTCGTGTTTAACTAAACATCAATATAAAGGCGAGATAACCCCTTCATTATTCTAAAGATCTTATTAGAATTCCCCTTTCTGTTTATCATACAATTTTTTTATGATAGTAATTTGGAGAAATTCATTTGGTATTGGGTCAACTGATAATCCACTTGATGTCTACATGATATTTTTCCTTATTCTCATCAGTTGTTTGTTTGATATTGTATTGAAATCCTAAAGAGAAAATGTGTCGTGGTCAGTCATGGGAGTTAAAGGTTTAAAGAGTCCTCACACTACCCTGGCGGGCCACTTAAAATGTAAGGGCTCAACAACAAATACAGCGAATCGTACATATTCACCATATGGAGCACAGCCTTTATTGAATTCAAAGAATTTATAGATTTTCACAGAACACAATATTGATGATAGCGGTTAAAGTATCTACACCTCAATTTCGTTATTTAGGAATGAAATTATGCTTTAAGTTCAAGTTAGCTGTGTAGTCTTCACTGCAGTGAACCTATTTCTTTTGTTCCATTCCACATCTCAGCTCGCGGGCTCGTAAGCAGATTTCTCTCCGGTACTGTTGCTCACGTTTTGCCTACAAAGATTCAACAAACATATTCTTAAAATTTTTCTTCAAATTTATTCGAAAAAAAAGAAATAAAAAACAAGACCGTTAAGCTCTGATGAATATTTGGAGTAAAATGTATGAAAAGAACCGAGTGACTTCTTCTTCCGATTCAACTATTTGGATACCGGCTTAATCAGACAAATCGAAGAGACGATAAATTAAAAACCTGTACTTACCTCCTCCAAGCGTCTTCGGATGTTCATCTTCATCATTTCCAAATTTCCAGCCTCTCCTTTATCTCTAAACTTTTTCAGAGTCCTTTCCTAAAAGAGTTTAAAGCGGCTTTCAGTGCGGAAAATTACTGAGTTGAACAACTAGGATCATTCAACAATGATATGAATGAAATGATAAAGAAAAAACATTATTGAAAGATTCCAGCTCATTTTGACATGACTAAAGACATAGATAAGGTATTTCTACGCTCACTAATAAGTGTTCCTTACTGAAAATTATCCTTATGAAAGTAAAAAACATTGCCATTCATAATCGAACCACTTAGAAAATTCAACTTAAATTAGACTTTAACACCATCTAAAACATTTTAGATGGATTGAAAACGAAAGAGATTTCTACTTATTCATGTACTTTTTCTCTCTTGCAATCAGGCTTAGTGCAGTGTGTAACAACTATGCCACCCTCAACTAACATTGAAGAAAGGAACAGAGCAAAAACACAAAGTGCTGTAGTCTTCATCTCGCTGACACAAGCTTCAGTGAATGAAAAGTTCTTGTATTTATATTAATCGCCGGCGATCCAAGATGTGTGCAACTGTATAGTAACGCTTTATCAGCTCAGCTCGGAGACAATCAATCACTTTCTCAGTTGGCACTCTTCACAAAAATGCGTCAGTCAAAATGCGCCATTGTATTTTTAATAACGGGATTTTGATCAAGTTGTCCAGTTTGCCTTATTGCCAGATGTCGTTTCAATCATCCAAAAATGTGCAAAATATTTACTTCGCTTCGTAAACTGAGTAACCTTACATAGATATTTTGCAAAGGCAAAAGAAAATTCATGATGTGAAACCAAGTAAGAGTAACATGACGAGCGAGTAAGGGCTTTGGTTAAACGGCAGTTGAGGTCCTCTCGGCTGGCTGCATTACGCTATTCTTTTGCTTTCCTGCATCTTATTGTTAGATTTCAGAAGACTATGAAGGAGGCTATACTAACAACGCTGCTGACGGAAATTTCCGAGTTCAAATAAATCGCACTATTTTATGCACAAACTCATGTGTCTCTCTTATAAGATTTTGTTGCTTCCCGAAAGATTATAACACCATGAAGGGTTTTCGCGTCTGACTTATATACTTCCGTATATTTCAAGTTGTCATAGGCTATTGTCAAAGAACATTGTTGCTGACTTTCTATGAGGGTATTTTCAAGATGTCGCGCTCAGAAAAGATTTTTCGTCTCTTTCTTAGTCAAAATCAATTTCATGGCTGGGGAGGGTTGCACAACATTTTGGGTTCGTTTACGCGCTTGTTGTGACAGAATTACCTGAAGATTAGCGGATAGGCTGTAGGATACCTCGAAACACAGGTGACCCGACATAAAAGCGAAGAAGATATGAAGCTTAGTGATTAAGAACGAGGAACTGTGGAACGTTCTAGAGGTTGAACGGCTTCCAGTTACGTGCAACGGTATTAAGGCTATTGGGGATTGTGTGTACGAGACAAAACAAATTAAATAACAATAACATAGGCAAACATTGAACGCTACTCTTCCCTAAATCAACCTCATCTAAGCGTCGACGTGATATTCTTCTTCATCATTTCTAAATTTTCAGCCTCCCTCCCTTTGTCCCTCATAGCTTTCAGTTTTTGCAAAAGTTTAAAAGGATGTTAGAGAAGCAACCGGGTAACACCTCGACTATTTCTACACTTATATAAATATATATACTTTTCCTGGCTCGCCGCAATTCCCTTTTTCCTTGTAGATCTTTATATCGATATGGCCATCTACCAACACCAAAGAAAGGAGCAATACGATAATTCAGTGCGATGCAGTTTTCATCTCGCTAAAAAAGGCTCCAGTGCACGGTAAATTATAGTATATACAAATGAATCAAGGGAGTAAGTTTTAAAGAAACTGTGGTGCTGCATCGGTGGGAGAGTACAACAGGGTAATTTAGTATTATGGACTGAGCTGATAACGTAAATTATAAAATAATTCAAATAGTACGCGCGCTCTGATTGGCCATAAAGCCATTTTACATGAGCGAACACGGTTTTCATACTGAATCTTCTCGCGGAGTTTTCCCTGCTATTTATTTAGCAGTACCTCAGTTTCTTTAAGTTTGTTTTGAGTACAGTAATGGAAAAAGGAGATTTTCCTAATTTTTCTTTGGAGTTTAATTTTCCCAGTATTCAAGAAACGGCCGAAAAGCCAAATGAACAACAACAGCAAGCACGTCGCTTTCCTTCGTTGCAAGAAGAGGCTCTTTCATTAGTTGTTTTATAAAAGAAATGTAAATGATTTTCGTGTTTACATAGCCTGATGTAAACACTTGGGAGGTTGGGATAACACAAGATAAGCTGGAAACCACTCCGCTTCACGTCGTGGTTTCCTACGCTTATCTCGTGTTCTCCCAATCTCCCGCGTGTTTACATCAGGCTATGTAAACACGGAAACCATTTTACATTTCTTCATTGGCCACCGTAAAGAATTTGAAAGCTGACGTTTTGAGCGTTAGCTCTTCTCTCTGACCCAATTCACATATCAGTTTTTTTACTGACTATTTACTTGCTGATTCCGATACTGAAGTATAAAAATTTTAAGACCTCCTAAATTTCAATCATTGCCACTTCGTAACAGTTTCGTACTTAGTTCCCTTTCATCCCGCACTAAGACCCAGTCCATGTCATTTTTTCGTCTCTAGTTCCCCATGCAAAACTCGCTCTACCCTTATTACTTAACTTTATTTCAAGACGAACTGCCTCAGTGCATTGACTGAGTGATCTTTTAGTTGTAATTCAAAGTGTCTCTTTTTGTAGGATGGTTAGATCATTAGTTGCTTCAGTGAAACAAACGTAGCAGTATCTTTGTGTTGTTATTCTTTGTGTTTCTAAGTGACCAGACCATCATAGTTTGATGCCTCTGACAACACGTAAGCCTGCAGGGCTCAATTAAAGATTTCATATGAAGTCGAGCTCATTTAAAATTGAAATACTCCTGTTAGATATTTGCATTCAATCGCTTTTCTAACGACACAGGATCTCCCTGAGTGGACCATTTAAAAGTTCTGAAGGCCCTAACTTTCAAAATGAGACTTTAATTAATTAGCCCCAAATTTTTCACGTGATAAATTTCCATTTCATTTCAATATTAGAAGCTACGTACCAACCTTAGTTTGAAAGATTAGATTTCTTCATTGAAGAGCATCTGGGCACTGAGGTGACTTGCTGAATTCCCTCCTCTCGTTATTTACAGCTAGTGAATTCGGCCACACCAGTGTGCAACAACGGGCTTAAATAATGCCATCTCCAGATTCAAAAGAGGAGGTAGATTTCCACTTTCGTGTCATGGTTACTTTCATCGTGGTAGTGTACACTATTGCTGGAGTTTTCCTATGCCGAGAATGTTGGCCGATGGTGAAAGATATTTACAGATCATACTACCCAGAGAGGCCGGTGGCGAAGCGGAAAGCTTCGGTTCCTTAGATATGAACTGTCAACCAGATGTGAAAGGAAAGTTACTCAAAGAAGATTTTCAGTTGGTTACTTTTTTTTTCACGGCAAGGCATAGCAAACATGGAAGTACGATGAAGGAATAAATGACAGTTGAGGACATAACTTTTTTTATTATTTCATTCTAAGTTTAAATAGAAAATACAAGCCTATTTTCAGGCAAATTGAAAAGTGTGCATTTTCACTGACAATTTTGTGCAGAGGCGACGGAGCAGTAGTGAGGGCGCAGAAGTTGAAGTTTTTCCCGACGAGGGGGAGGCATTCCAATTTACTTCATATTCCCTCCCTCCCTTCCCCCACCCAAGTTTCGAAGCGGAAATTATTGCTTACGTATTTAGAGTTTGCCTAATATTTACATAATATTTTTTGCATAATATTTAGTTTTGTGACCTCTCAACAGGGTCGTTTTTTTTTATGAAATTTAAAAACCTGAACTCTGTCTTCCCTTTCGTGTTTAAAACATTGTCTTCCCAGCAACAACCGTCACGCCATTTGAGCTCGGAGACTTTCTGCATGGAACTTGACTAGCTTGTTTTCAACATTTGTCCACCTATTGTTTATACTGGTTTTCTTTTCATGGAGTAACCTCCTAATGACTACTTTCATTTTCAATCATTTCTTCGGCTGAAATGAATATTTGAATAGGGTTTTAAATTCTCTTTTCGATTAACTTGTTCATGCATTGTCTACGGTGGCTAATTTCAAAGATTCCCCAACAAGTTATTGGTAAATGAGGCCGAGTAAAATTGTTCATCTTCTCAGTTTTAATTTACCACAAACTTTAATTTTTTTGTGCTGCGAATCAAACAATAGTATCTTCTTCATCAGCAAATCATGCCGTCAAGACCACCGTAAATGAGGCAACATTTACAACCGTTCACCCTTTCCATTGGTAATTTTTCTTTTTTTCTTTAATTTAAATGCATGAGATTTACAACACATAGTGTTGAGCTTAGAGGTTTGAATTATTGCTAGCCAACCGAATTTCGTCTTAAATTAAGCTGGAGCATTGCAACTTTGTGGAACGTAAGATTTAAAGGTAGTTACAATTTTGCGATCGAGGATACAAGGGATTTTTGCGTCCCTCTTTTAAGTTGTCATATAATTCTAAGTTTTTAGCTGACTTCGTGAAAGATTTTAACATATGAATGTGATGTTTGGAGACAGCTTATTAACTTTCTTTGTTCCTTTCCAGGCGATGGAAATCCACATTGACTACATTATCTACTTCATTTTTTTATCTAGTCCCATTTTGCATCGCTGAGAAAATGCTGCTGTTCATTGTTGTTGCAGTGTGTTTGGCCGGTGCCTTGAGTTATAATCCGGAAGGTAAGAATGAAAAACCAAGGAGGTTAAGCTAGGAGATCCCATGATCAAAGCGATCTTTTACCAACTTCTTCAGTTACTTTTTAATCACCTTCAGTTTTTGAAAGTCCACGAGAATCAAAATAAATACCCATATCGCGTTAAGAGCTTAGCTCTCTAGAATAACTCATGGACGTCTATCCAATTTTCACATGGAAGAAGTTCACACTAAGTGTACTTATAGTCCACTTAGCATCACTCCCGAAGGAGTGGACAACAGAAATCTTAAAAAGTCGGGCAACGCTTTTATTTGAAATCTCAAGCTTTTTTTGAAGGATGAAGTGTCGTATCTTGATCTTCTCTTGTGGCAAAGCAGTAAATTCTAGCGTAGCCTACCACTATTCATAGAGAGAGAAAAGAAAACTCGTACGAAGCTCCCTGTGCCATAACCTCTCGTGAGTGAACTCGACCTCCTCCAGTAAGCGACTGTTCAGACAAGATCTATCTTTAGCCCGTCATATGATCATAGTTAGAACTTCCCTTGTAAGAGTTCCTTTCCCTTTTGGGCGGCCTCCTTACTATAATTCGGCACAGTCTCGCAAGCGTCGACGGAAATGCGAATTTTTTTATACAATTCAAATTATGCGGCGATGCAGAATTAAATTTTTTTTGGTCTAGCGATGGTCTTCAGCGTGGGTAAATACCTCTTCGACAGCAAACTTTTGACCTAGATTTTCTCCCGCTATTTTTTTTGTTTGTTTTACCTCTATTAAGTGGTCGCTGATGCCTGATATTTTAATTTGTCGCTCTTTCTGCACTCGCTTTAAGTTTTGGCTTTTCGAAAGGAAAATACTATAATTGGATAATAGTCTTTTTAAATTTCTCATTTCAATTTCTTTCTGGTGCGTAGAGAACATAGGAGTTGGAAATCCTGATCTCTTTGAAGGAGACATGACCCTTACGGCTGAACAAAGGGCTGCTGCAATGGCTGGACAAGACGTGGACGCGCCAGCTAGCCGTGGCGCCATCAGAAGGGGCTTGTGGCCAGGCGGAGTTTTGGTGTACGAAATTGATAGCAGTTTTCGTGAGTTTATCGAAGTTTTCAAATTATTTGATTAATAGTAAACTGCAGGGAATCCCAGATTCAAGAAGGAATGATTGTTTTGCTTTTATCATGTCCACATCTCTGAGTTATCCTCTATCAAATCACTGTTTTTCCATCTTTTCGAATCTCATAAATCAGAGAAATCTAACATTCTGAGCTTATATGACAAGTGCTCAGTTAAAAAGCAAACTTATTCAACCACTGAACAATGTTTGAATTGTGTGGCAGGTGCTACAGGCGTGTTAAGAAAGGTGCATGTGAGCGTAGAACTTGAAGCGCTCAGAGAAGAGTACCCACGCCTGCTTTAATCTTATAACTCGCGTCAATTATTCAGGTAATTCTTGTAAAATAAATAGTTTCGAAAAATTATTCTGTAATGCGTAAATCTACATAAAATATGGCCATAATCAGCGATGAGAGCTGTTACATTATTTCCATTTATCCACAGGCCGGAGTTCGAGTGCAATGAACGCTATTCGGAGTGGAATGAAGATGTGGTCTGATAACACGTGTATCACATTTAGGGAGAGAAGAGGAAACGAGAAAAGCTATGCGTACTTCCAGGGCGGTGGAGGGTAAGCGATACCAATCAGAATAAATCTGCTGTGTTTTAGTGCGTGCGCACACGTAATCGCCGTGTATCCAGTAACGCTAATTCGCTATCTATATGAACAGCCCCCTATTTGGATTAAAAATATGCCGGACATGTTTGTCCACGGACATTATTTGATCTGAGTAGCAAACAGTTTTCTGTGAACGAAGCTCGAGGAAAAGTGTAAGCAAAGCAGCAAACAGCGAAATGTTCTCCCATCTTAGATCAACTATTAACGGAATATTCTAATTGCATTTGACGGGAAGTTTGAAAATTGAGGAATTCACTCAGAAAATATGATCGGATATTCCCCAATTTCAGCTGGGCATATTCGGTCACGTTACGCGTTTAGACTGAATCGCCTGCGAGCGAAAATATTTGACGGATCATATGTTATAATATGCATGTAGTTATGATATACAATTACACGAATTTTCTAATTTGTTCAATTGAAGTCAGAAGCAAGCCCGTGCGTGCTTCGTATTTCCATTTTGCTCAATGAAGATGGGTATCGCACCTTGAAGTGTTGGAGGGGTAATTCATCTTCACGAAACTTTCCGAACCTATTACACTTAAATTGATGTAACATGTTAGATTCTCTTGTTCAGCTTAAAATAGTATCTTGGTGTGTTAGGTCTTGTGATTTACAATTAACAATTGATTCTTATGTTAGCTACGCGTTCATTGTCATGGAAGCACTAGCGAGGTTTGAAGAACACTGAAGAAGCTAAGGTAGCTCTCGACTGAACCTTGATCAGCCACTACGCAGCTTTAATTTTGTGCTCTCCAAACTTACGCTTGCTTCCCTTTTTCGACCGCACGCTGACACTTAAACCAATTGTTAATTGTACATCACGAGGTACAATACACCTGGATACGACTTTAAGTTGATCGAGAGAATATGATTTTTGCCTCTACGAGTTTTTGGGGAGGAGGTATTGGTGAGCTGGCTTCGTTAAGGTTTTATTCTTAGAGGAGATGACAAACGATAATAAATATTTTAAAAGCAATGTCTCTGAACAGTGATTTTAGCATTTACAGCAGATGATCAACTATGGCACTGTCTTACACAGTTTTTATTTATGAATTTGAACAACAGGTTTTCATCAGTGGTTGGACAGACTGGACGAAGGCAAGCTATCACTCTCGGAAGAAGATGTTTACACGTGGGAGTTATTGCCGAAGAAAATGGGTTGTACGACCGTAAGACCACACGACCGACCGTACAAGATGCTACTTTTAGCATGCACGGCCAACTGTACCACGGGCACTATCTTAGCCATTACGTAATGGAAGGGCGAGGGAGAAGGTAATGGTGCGATTGAAGCGAGTTCTGAAAATTGCGCAAGAAAGTTAGAAAGGACGCCAAAATAGGCAGAATACGGCGAGAGGAACGCGAAAGAGAACAATAAAGGGCATAAGTAAAAAGGTGAGTATCTAGCGAAGAGCAAAGCGAGAAGGAAATACAAAGTCGCTCCTGAAAACAGACTGAAAGAGGTCATCAACAAAGAGAAGCGAACTACAAAGGATCCGCGAAAGAAGAGGAGGTAAGTCGTGTCTTATCTGAGTTTTCTCTTACGCTAAGACCCAGAACAAATTTAAACTTTTTTTATTTTACCAATCGTCGTTTGATACTAGCTTCAGTTTTTAATTCAACTGATCACGTTTCGGTGGTTTAGCAAGAGGACGGGAAAATCATTTCAGAACGGTGCGCGCTGCAAAAATGTTGATAAGAAACTGGGTCGAGAACGCCGTCGCGTTGTGTTGAAAAGTGATTTAGCTGTCGTTGCAACGGGAATCCTCACCTCGGCTTTTTAAAGATCACCATCACCTTTGAATTTTCAGATTTATGTACCACTCTAAGGACAACGAAATTATCTTCTTGGAGAGTTATGTAACAAGCGCAAACAGAGGATAGTTCTAAATAGGGCATGTATTTTGTTTATAGCGGAGCTCGCAGAGCATAGCCCCATAATTATACAAAATAGTAGTAACCCATCAAGCCGAAAAAATTTGGATGTACGACCGTACGACCGCACGGCCGCACAGGGTGCTTCTTTTAACACGCGTGATCAACTGTAACGCGGGCACGCCAACGCCACGGCTTTGTTCAGTAGTCCAGTGGTCAGTGCACTGGGCTCCGAGTCGGACGGTTGTTTACGATGAGTTCCTATTTATCCGTGAAAGATGAAATTAACTCAAACTAGTCACCAACGAAACGGTTTGACTAAGGAATAAGACTCCGTTCCTGTTTTACTTTTTTTTCGTTTTTGTTTAATTTATTATTTTTTTAAACGAATGAAGTCGTTCAAGACTGAATCAAGTTAATTGATTTAGAAAGCTGTGCCGAAATCAAGTTGATTGTCATTTTATTTCGAAGCGAGAGCATGACTCTCTTGTCCTAGTTTTCACCAGCGCTAATCAAAAATTTTCAAACACAAAAAAAGTGCATACCTGAGCTATTCCCAATTTTTTTTTCATCTCTGCCAGAGAAGGCTTCAATTCGCAAAAAAGTTTTCAATCGTGGTAAAAACGACAAATAACACCACAATAACAATACAGTAGGTAAGCGCCGTGATATTTCATTTTGATAAACTTCAACACGAAGCAAGTTTAATTTATTGATGAATTGATTCATGATAAAGTTTTCATACAGGATTAAAGAAATGTATCAAAGAACAGCCCTCTCGCTGTTTTAAGCCTTGCTCAATTACAAGAGTACTGAGCCCTAAAATCTTGGATCCAGCGTTTGCCAACGATTGTGTTTCCTTTCGGCCGAAGCATAAATGAAGCAGTAAATCTTTCCAAAATACACCGAATAAACCAAAGGAAGGGACCAGGTTATTCTGGAAATGAGTTCTTAAATAATTCCTGAAATAATTCCAAACAGCATTATCTCGTTTTTAAGCGCAAAATTTACTCAAATCCCAGGCGTTTTGATCGCGACGGGAAAACCAGCGAAATGACGTCCTGAACTTGTTGGGGAGAACGGCAACACCGGAAGTCGAAATGGAGTCGTGTCCAGACAATCCGCGCGCTTTCCCGTTCTGAAATGACGTTCCCGTCCTCTTGCTAAATCACAATATTGACTCTGGCATTCATCGCCTAATAACCCTCACGCCGGTTCATCGCTCGAATAATATTTCATGGTGTTCGTATTCTTCAAGTTATTTCTTGTCCTCTCGTTTGAAAGTTTAATACAGTCGTGGTGTTATGGGAAAACGTATTTTGTTTTGCCTAGAAAGTTTTCAAATGATGGCGAACGGCGAGCGCAAGTTTCTACTTTTTTTTTCTCTCCAGTTAATTATCGCAGAATTCGATTCATTTGAACAATTCGCGCTCTGCCGAAGATGTTGGTTTACCCTAAGAACGAAGTAATGGCCTTTCCTAAAATTGAAATAAATTGAGATTGAGTCAGCGATGTTCCTGTTTACGTTAAGTCTGACGCGTAATTTGATTTTGACGATAGTAAGGACTTTAAGCAACGACAACGGCGACGGCGACGGCGACGGCGACGGCGACGGCGACGGGGACTCCAAAACCCGAATAAGACTGGGGGGAGAACGCCGTAATGGCGGGAATTTTTGAACAGTTAAGCAGCCATTACAAAACGCCGCTCATGATGTCTTTGGAAGAAGTTCGAAATCAACTTTTGATTAGCCACGATGATAGTGTGATAAACGATGAGGAACTTCTACTCCTGGGCGATTTAAACAGGTCCGATAATGTTGATCTTCCGCACAATTCTTATCCTAGTTTTGACTTCGATGATTTGGCAGACGACGAGTGCCTTTCAGAGTTTCGCTTCTACAAGAACGACTTACCATCTCTGGCTGAAGTATTGGGGATTCCTGAGGTAGTGGAATCCTATCAAAAAAGTATCTGTGGCGGATTGGAGGCTCTTTGCATTTTTCTCAAGAGACATAGTTATCCTTGTCAATATTCAGGCATGATAGCTCGCTTTGGGAAGCCTGTTCCAGTGTTATGCATCATAAAAAACTACATGATCGACTACATCTACTAGGCACACAGTCACAGAATTTTGCAGTGGAATGATAGCATCCTACAAAATAAATTAAAAGAAAATATTATCGTTAGATGTTTGTCGACTGACGCGACAAAATTCTTCAAAATTGTGCTGGCAGATAAAAAAATCGAAACGGCTACATAAGTTGTAGTGCTGTCTGCCCTTTTAAATGTGGTAAAAATATCTTCTTTGTCAAACTGTTTGACTTTTGAGCGATTCTCAGCGACGAATGTTCGATTGGTATCAGTGTGAGCCAAGCTTATTTAGATTACATTTCTTACTCTCATGTTCGTCAAATGGTGTCGGTCTCGACCAGCGTCTCGACGTTTCTGTTTAAAAACAAACATCAAATTAAAGAATAATCTCATTTTATGAAAGAAAAAAGCGATGAAAGTCATTTTAAATTATCTCCCGGGAATATTTAACGTTTAGATAGTAGAGAAGGCGAAAAAGAATAA